AGGCATACAGATCTGCAAAATGTTTAAATAAAAAAGAGAATCAGATTCAAGAAGATATAGTATACGATAGGACATAGTAATAGATTAAAATGCCAATCTAAATAAAAAAAAATGGGTAGTGAACTTATCTGAGAGCCACTAGCGTGAAATAGGGTAGTAATAATTATCTAGATCATCACTCAACGTTAGAGCCTTCAAATTACCAGTAAAAACGAAGATCGACTAATCAAAACCCAAATCTTCGACTCAATTAGAAGATCGGCCACTAAAAACGAAGATAGACGAGTAAAAATGAAGATCAGCCACTAAAAACAAAGATCTTCGAGTGACAAACGAAGATCGGGCACTCAAAATCGAGATCTTCGAGTAAAAACAAAACCGGCCACTAAAAAGAAAGATCTTCGAGTAACAAACGAAGATCGGGCACTCAAATCCACGATCTTCGAGTGAAAACGAAGATCGGCTGTTAAAAATTCAAACGAAGATAGGGTTTTGAAAATCCAGCCTCATCGGATGTTAAAGGTCATGAAGACCTTACAGACATATTCTAATCTTGGCTAAATTTGTACAAAGCTCAAGAGTGTGTTGTGAGATTAGGAAATCTGACTTCAGATATGGATAGTGTTAGAGAGGAGATTAGGATAGTGTTAGAGAGAATGCTAGCTGAGAGTTGGGTGGCAATTAGGAGGGGGTGAGGATGACATCCGTATAGTGAAGAGTGTGATTAGTGGGCCGGGTATGGGCTATATTACATATTTGTAGGTTGGGCTTTGCATTAAAATAAAAAGATCTTGGGCTAGATTACATCAATGTTTAATTATAGAGATTGGGGTTGTTGGCAGCCCATACTTAAATAATAATTAAGTAATTTTAAACATAGGTGCTGATGAATTCAGATTAACTGTTTTAATTATTTGTGTATTTAAGGTACATTATTTTTGTAATAAATGTACATTAGTTACATTTACCATTTTTACATTTTATTTTTAATTATGTTACACGGTACTGTGTGGACCATGGTTAATGTATTCACGATTTTAATTAATGCATTATTTCTTATAATACATAGCTTCTAATAGTGTTTAAATATGTTACCATTTTGACATTACATTTTTTAATTATGTAACACTGTACTATGTGGCATTTTTTATTATGTAACACCGACTGTGTTAGTCATGATCCACGCAAGATTGTGGACCGTGAATGTCAAAAACAATTTTAATTAATACAAAATGTATATTATTTACAAAATGTTATTAACTATGTTAGCGTTTCGATATTTCATAGATTATATTTAGGTTACACGGTACTGTGTGTACCATTGTAAATTTAATACAGATTTTAATTCATGAATGGTTTTTGACAATATTTTTTTTTTTTTTTTTTTTTTGCCATTGCAGAAAATGTAGAGAACAACGATACCATTCGAGAAGAGAATACTAATGATCCACAAATGGAATACACACCACAACCATACTGTAATTCAAATGATAGACCAAAAAGTGCTCTTACAACAGGTAAACTATTTAAAGTTTGTAAAATTTTATTTAACAGGTTATAACTTATTACAAACATGTTATGTCTTTTCAGTTAATAAAGAATCTTTGGATATACAAATTAGTACGCAAAGCATGGAATATACAACAAGCAACAGTAAATCAAGGCATTTTGTGTTAGGAGGACGAAAGCCATTATCTTCCAGTGCAACAAGCGATATACTTAACGGTTGATTTTTAGTTAATGGGCAATTACTTAATTGTTTTTATTCCAATTACAGATTATAAACAATCTATCATTAAAAATGTTAAATATGTTATATAAAAGGTACCTACACAATGTCTGAGAACAAACGACCACCTCTACAGGATATATCCAATGGTAAGTATTCTTTATATCATTTTTGTTGCTTAATAAATGTTTTTTTTATGCCAACTTAGTTGTAAACTATAAATTAATTAGGTAACACAAAGTGCAACAAAAGGAAATGCATGGATAAGGGTAAAACTGTTATCCAGTGTAATGTTGTCAACCGAGATTTGTTTCAAGATTTTGAAGAAGTTTCCAATATGGATATAATTTCAAAAACCGTTCAAGACAATTATGGTACGTTTAATATTAAATAGTAGTAGTTTCCAAATGTTTCATGGTATTATTCTTTGTTTGAGTCATATTTAGTTCTTACGCCCAAAAGGATTATTATTTTTGGGAAACTAATCTGATATATTCTACGTAGGATTGTCACCAATTACACAACAACACATCCAAGAAAGTGCAAATGGTAAGTAATTATTTGTATATACAAATTACAATGCAGTTACAATTTTTTGGATATGTTTGAAAATATTTATAGATAAGATGATTTATGTACATGGTAGGTACAAAACAATGCAACGAGACATCGTGCACAAACCAAGTTACAGTACTAATGCAGTCGACAGTTGGAATTTCAAATTTTAACCAATCAGGTGATGAACAAGCAAATAAGTCTCAAATTACAGAAACGACTACTTTCAATACTGGTATGTATAATATTATTCGGTCTTCTAATTCATATGCTACAGTTTAATTAATTGATTTTGAATTATCAACTTAGTGGAATACCAAGATCTTGGTGATGCGACTATAACATGTCAACACTGTGGAGCGCTTTTTTGGTACGAAGAAAGGACACACAAAACAGATAATCGCGGCCACCCAAAATATAACCTGTGTTGCAACAATGGTAAGATCTAATTGCCACAAACGATGATGCCACCACAAGCGATATATGATCTTTTTTTTTGAGAAGGAGAAAAAAAACAAGCAATATCTACACAACATTAGAACATACAATAGTATGTTCTGCTTCACTTCGATGGGTGGTAAAATAGACCGAAACGTGAACAGAAACGGTGGTCCCCCAATCTTCCGTATAAATGGCTAGAACTTCCACTACATTGGTAGTCTATTGCCGGTAGACGGTAAGAAACCACATTTCGCACAGCTGTATATCTATGATACCAATAATGAAATGGACAACCGTGTCAATTCTGTTAGGTAAGTGTGTGGCATTTTTTTTTTAATTTAATGCAAATTCTTATGTGTTATTTGATTAAAATCCTGATTATTGACCCTTTTAAATTTTAGGCAAGATGGTAAGCAAAACGACATCCATGTGGAAATTGTCAATGTGATTCAAAGAGTTTTGGATGACCATAATGTGTTGGTAAAAACATTTCGCATGACATGAGATGAACTACAAAAGAACCCACTGGCTGAGGTTAAGATAAAATTGTTTGGCAAGAGATCAAAGGATGCTAGAACATACAATTTGCCACAAGTCTCAGAGGTTGCTGCGTTGATTGTTGGTGATATCGATACCAATATTGGAGAACGCGACATTCTGGTTGAAACAAAGAGCGGTCTCTTGCAAAGAATCACTGAGTTAAATCTTGCTTACCTGCCGATGCAGTACCCTTTATTGTTTCCTTATGGTGAAGACGGTTATAGGGAGGACATTCCCTTCTCAACGTTAAAAGGAAACACAGCTGGTGGACGTCAAATGATAAGCCCTAGAGAATATTTTTCATACCGTATCCAGTCTAGAATATCCGAAGTTTCAACTTTATTGCATGCAAGAAGGCTATTCCAACAATTTCTGGTTGATGCCTATACAATGGTTGAGTCCTGAAGGTTAATATATATAAGGACACATCAGAAAAGTTTGAGGTACGAATCATATAATTGCTTGAATGATGCATTAACACAAGGTGAACTTGACCCCACTACTCATGGAAAACGAATAATATTGCATTCGAGTTTTATGGGTGGTGCTAGATACATGATACAAAATTACCAGGATGCAATGGCGATTTGTCAATGGGTTGGATATCCAAATTTGTTCATCACATTCACCTGCAACCCCAAGTGGCCTGAGGTACAACGCTTCTTGAATACAAGAAAATTAAGGCCAGAAGATCGGCCAGACGTAATCTGTAGAATATTCAAATTGAAGTTGGATGCCCTACTATCAGAATGCCGAAAGAACAAGTTATTTGGTCCAGTCATTGGAGGTACGTGAAAAATAAGCTACTATTTTAATGATGAAGTTTCTAACCCATAGCAATGTCTCAAGTTTTAGCTCTATTCTAAACTATCTTATCTTTTTCATTGTTAACAGTGATCTATACCATAGAGTTTCAAAAAAGAGGTTTACCACATGCTCATATACTTTTGTTTCTGGATAAAAACAATCGAGCACAAAGTGGGATAAATCTGGACAACATTATTTCAGCTGAGTTACCTGACCAAGAAACAGATATAGAATACTTCAAAGTTGTTGAGGAGTTTATGATGCATGGTCCTTGCGGGAAAGCACGGTTGAGTTCTCCATGTATGGCGAATGGTAAACGTACTAAACACTTCCCCAAGAAGTTTATTAATTTATCAACTGTGGACGAGGATGGTTATCCTATATATCGCAGACGAGACAATGGTCGGTCTGTCATGCGCAATGGTATTCAGTTGGATAATAGGTACGTAGTACCACACAATAGACATTTATTACTAAAGTATAGGGCTCATATTAACGTGGAATGGTGTAATCAGTCCTGTTCAATCAAGTATTTGTTCAAGTACGTCAAAAAGGGGCATGACAGGGTAACAACAAAGTTTTACAAAGCCAACTGCGATGAAGAATGTCCACAAGTTATTGATGAAATCAGTATGTTCTATGATTGTCGGTACATCTCTCTGTGTGAAGCATCTTGGCGATTATTTGGATTTGATATACAGTTAAGGACACCAGCTATTGAGCGATTAAGCTTTCACTTGCCAAATCAACAAAGTGTCATATTCGCAGATGATGATCCAGTTGATAACATACTAAGCCGTCCAACAATCTTACAAACATGTTCTTAGAATTGTTTGAGGCAAATAAAACCTACCCAGCCGCAAGACAACTGACATATGCCAAAATGCCAACTAAATTTGTATGGAAGAAAGATGTTAGGACTTAGGAAATGGCAACCAAAGAAAAGAGGATTTGCAATAGGTTGAGTTTTCTATATGCCACCTGGTACAGGGAAGATATTTTATTTGAGATGTCTTTTGAATAAAGTAAAAGGGCCCACAAGTTTTTTGGACATAAAAAAAGTAGATGGTGTGCAATACGAATCTTTTAGGGATGCGTGTTCTGCAAGAGGATTAGTAGACGACGACAGGGAATATGTTCATGCTATAGAAGAAGCAATTCAATGGGCGACAGGTGTAAATTTGAGAAGATTGTTTGTCACCCTATTAATCTCAAACTCAATGGCAAAACCAGAAGTTGTGTGGGAAGCTGCGTGGCACTATTTGGCTGAGGATGCACAATTCAAGATTAGAGCTCAATTAGGGATTACATGTAATATTTTGTTTCTGTACTTTCATGTTGTACAAATTATTTGTATACACATACTTATAATATGCGATTGATAATACTATCACAGATTTGATTTTATCTGAAGATGAGAAAAAGAATTTTGCACTTCGGGAGATAGAAATAATGCTTTCTGCTATGGGAAAGAGTTTGAAAGACTTTCCGTTGATGCCAGTACCGGATTTAGAGAATCATGCTAGAACCATCAATCGGTTGATACAAGAGGAATTAGCATATGATATTAATGTCATGTGGGAAGAGAATGATAAATTGGTGCATCAACTCACCGAAGAGCAAAGGGCTATATATGGAAATGTATTGCAAGATGCTGAGAATAATCTGGGAGGCCTGTTTTTTGTTTATGGATACGGTGGAACGGGAAAAACATTTTTATGGAGAGCATTGTCTTCTGCTTTAAGGTCAAAGGGTGATATAGTTTTAAACGTGGCATCAAGTGGCATAGCATATCTTCTACTACCAGGAGGTAGAACTGCGCATTCAAGATTTTCAATACCAAGAGCTGTTAATGAAGATTCAACCTGCAACATCTGCCAAAGTAGTCCTTTGGCACAGTTGATAATGCAAAGTAAGTTGATCATTTGGGATGAGGCACCGATGATGCATAAGTTTTGCTTTGAAGCTTTAGACCGTACTATGAGAGATATCATGCGTGCCAAAAATCCAAAAAGCTTGGATATGACTTTTGGTGGGAAAACCATGGTGTTAGGTGGAGATTTCAGACAGATTCTACCAGTCATTCCAAAGGGCACCAGGCAAGATATTGTGGGAGCAAGTATAAATGCATCATATCTTTGGAGAAGCTGTAAAGTATTTAGGCTAACAAAGAATCTCAGGCTTAGGTCATTGCAATCAGATACTAAAGTTAAAGAGATTGAAAAAATTGCAAAGTGGATTGCTAATATAGGTGATGGAACAATTGGTGATTCTTTGCATGGAGAATGTGAGATAAATATTCCTGAAGAATTTGTGCTAACTTGTGTTGAGAATCCAATTTCTACAATTGTTGATAGCATATTCCCTATGTTCCGCAGTGGTCACAGTGACATTCAATACCTAGAAGATCGTGCTATTTTGGCACCAACTTTGGATATTGTGGATGCAGTAAATGAATACATGAATGACTATAATAATACCGAAGGAATGACGTATCTCAGTTGTGATTCGGTTTGTAAATCTGATTCAAATGTTGACATGCTTGCTGATCTGCACACTCCAGAATTTTTAAATGGATTAAGGTGTTCAGGAGTCCCAAATCACTCATTGACTCTAAAAGTTGGCTCACCAGTTATGCTTCTGAGGAATATTGATCACTCATTGGGGTTGTGCAATGGTACAAGAATGATCATTTCGAAGTTGGCAGATCATGTTTTAGAAGCTCAAATACTATGCGGGGCAAGTGCCGGTACAAAGGTCTTAATTCCAAGGATGTTCTTAACACCTTCTGATCCAAGATTGCCTTTTAAGTTCCAAAGGAAGCAATTTTCACTAATGTTGTCATATGCAATGACAATAAATAAAAGCCAAGGCCAGACACTATCCAACGTGGGTTTGTTTTTGAAGAGACCCGTTTTTAATCATGGTCAAATGTATGTATCAGTGTCAAGAGTTAGTAATCCTAAGGGATTAAAAATTCTTATTTGAGATGTAAAATCTAAAAATACGACTACAAATGTCGTATACAAAGAAGTATTCAATAAAGTATAATAAATTTACATTTAGTTCACTATCTGTTGGTCCCAAAAGAGGTAAGGTGAAAGTCTAGAGGGGGGGGGGGGGGGGGTGAATAGACTTTCAAACTTTTTCGCACAGCACAACAATTGCTAAGACAGAGATAAACCAAAACTCATAACTAGATTGTTAGAGTATGGTGCACAGCGGAAATAAATAAACATAAAGTGTGTGTGAGATTGTGTGAGCAGTATATCTTCGTGAGAGAGAATATGTAAGGAGCGATAAGTAAAGAAAGCAGTAAAGAACACAAGACAATTATAGTGGTTCGCGAGGTGGTGTAACCCTCCTACTCCACTTGCTCTTTTCTCCAAGAGCCAATTCACTATATCCACCACTTCTTGGTTCCAAGATACAATGAATTCCGTGATCTAGTGCTTTGATCACAAAGCCCGCACTAATCACGCCCAGTGACACCACACTGCTGCTTCGGGTTTCACGTCGCCGCGCTACTATCCCAGGATTTCACGACTCCGCGTTACTTTCCCCCCGTCTTCCACACTCCGGTAGAAACGTATCCCGTGATCTGGTGCTTTGATCACCAAGCCCACACCAATCACGCCCAGTGCCTCCGACACTGCTGCTTCGGATCTCACAGCTCCGTGTGACAATCCAGGATTTCACAGCTCCGTGCTACTTTCCTCCCTTCTCTTGTTTTGCTCCAAAACAAGTGTTGTCTTGCTTCCAACTTCTGAGACTCTGTAGATGATCTTCAATGATGCGCAGGTCTCTTTGATGAAGATAAACACTCTGGAATGATTTCTCTTGATAGCTCTGAGTGTTTTCTCTCTTTGAATATATCAAGTAAAGCACTTGATATTTATGCTCTGTTTTGCTCTGTTTAAGAACTCTCAGAATATTTCTCTTTTGAAGCTCTCTGAGTTCTTTTTCTTTTTCTCACTTGAAGATTTTAGCTCTTTGCTCGTATATTTTTCTCTGCTCCGTTCTTCTTCAAGTCTTCATATCTTCATCATTTTATAGCTGGTAATGAGAATCTGTCCGTTGGAAAGAGACGCTCTCATTTTTGAAATCTTGTATCTTTTGTCAGAGATCTTATCTTATCTTCTGCAAAAATGTCAGAAAGAGATAAGCTAGCCGTTTGATGGAGTTTCATCTCCATGTAAATGAGCTCCCAAACTTCATCTGATATTCCTCTGCTTTTACGTTGAGTGGAAATATCTGGGTCTCAGTTTTGGTGTAGAATGGCTTCTCTGATCAGCTCTGAAGTGGTCCTTGTATCTTTGGGATTTAAAAATATTCTTCAATTTAATCCCATACTAGTTAAAACTAGTATTTTTCCTTATGAGAATATTTTCACTGTAAGTTCATCTTCATCTTCTTCATTCTCACGTCTGGGTGTTCTCAGACTTCAAACTGGCTTTGAACTTCCACCCAATTTGAATTTCTCCTTTGTAATTGACACCCAATTTCAATTAGCTTGTAATTGGCACCCAATTTGAATTTCTCCATTGTAATTGGCTCCCAATTGACTTTGACTTGCAATTGGCTCCCAACTGCTCCTGGTGCTTTCAATTGCTTCCCAATTTGAATTGTTGACTTTGACTTTGAAATTGGCTCCCAGACTTCTCCTGGTATTGAATTTCATCTCAATTCAATTTGATCTCCATGTCTTCTTTGAATCGGTCCCCAACTTTGAAATTGCATCCCATACTACAACCTCAATTGGCTCCCAATTTCAATTCTACATTGGCTCCCATCTTGAATTGATTCCCATGTGAAACATGCTCCCAATTTCAAACCTCAATTGGCTCCCAACTTCAATTCTACATTGGCTCCCATCTTGAATTGATTCCCATGTGAAACATGCTCCCAATTTCAATTGATTTTGATTTCTCTGAAACTGGCTCCCAATTTCAATTGCTTCGAACTAGCTCCCAATTTCAATTTCTATGAAATCGGCTCCCAAGTGCAATTGCATCTCAATTGCTACCCAAGTGAAATTGCTTCTCAATTTCCACTTGTAATCGGCGCCCAAAGCTTAAACTAGCGCCCAACTCCATCAGATTAATTTAATTTGACTTCTCAAATTTTACCTTGTAAAATTATTGATGGTGAGTTTCAAACTTGAGCCATTTCGGATAATATATCAAGCATCATCCACTTCGTCCGTACAGCTTTTGATTAAATCTCCAATCACATTTGATGTACTTCTTTCTTTCCATAGATGCTTGATCTCCAAGTCAATTTCATGCATTCTTCCAATATTAATTTTCTTCACGAAAATTCTTCTAGGATATCTTCTTTGAGTAGCATTGACGTGATTTCATATCTTTCATCTTCTTCTTCAGTTTGCCATTTTCTCCAGACAAATTCTTGATTTTCGGCTTTATATCTTCTTCTTCTATTTTCATCCATTTTCCTCTGTTTTTCTCTTTTCATAATTAAATAATTTCCTGATCATGGTCTAAGACTCTACTAGACCTATGAAATAAAATTGGGGGATCTACAAATACAAATTTGGCATATCAAAACCATTACACTTTATTCCTAACAATTTCCCCCCTTTTGATAATGCCAAAACATATACTCAGTCATTGGCTTTAAGTCTTTGAAAAATAATCTTTTTGCTCCATTTTATTTGACAAAGCCAAGATGAGTTTAACAATGGTTTTCTAGACACAATCAAAAGAAACTTGTGAATTAAGTTTTAGACAAGCTCCTAAACGCATCTTGAATTATTTTTATTTTGATCATCATCAATTTTTAATTTTGTCGTGCGTTTGACATATTTCTTGTCTTTTAATTCACGAAAGTCTAATTACATTAAACAAATAAAATTAAAGACTCAAAATAGACCATGGGAAATTATTATTGATATATTTCGAATTTATAGAGAAAAACGCAACAGAGGTTCGAAAATAGAGAATATCAACTTAAGAGAATTTTCAGATTACCTTCTGGGTTTCTTCACACCAAAGTCTTTCTTCAAAATTTCCTTGACATGTTCTCTGAGCTTGAAGAAATCATCTTTGAACTTTGCATTCTGAAATTTCTTTGTAAGCTGTTCGGCCATATAGTATCCATAAGCTTCTTTGATATTGTTGCCCGGAAGAACTCCGTTTTCCCACCATAAGACACATTCTTCGAAGCTTCTTTCTTCTCCAAGATTCATGCCCATATTTCCGGTGAAATCTCTTAGTTCATACCACATCTCAGTTCTTTTCCTTTTGCCTTCTTCTTCTTTATTCTTTTCCGAGATCCATTGGGCTTGATCGGCTGCAGGCCATTTCTTGATCATGCTTGGTAAATTTTCTTTGGTCCATATTGTTGTCTGAGTGGCGGTACCCTTAGAGCATTCGAACCAGCCACGCTGTTCAGCAACCTTCGATGTACTCGTACCAAGACTAGGATTCGCGAACTGAGCAAAACCAATCTGAGATGGTCCTTGTGAGGATTGTCCGCGGCTTCGGCCTCTACCTTGAGTAGACACTACTGGCTGTTGTTGACTTCCAAGAATAAATTCTTGTTGTTGCAAAGCCAAGTGACTGAGAATTTCTTCCCCCCTTTTGGCGTTATCAACAAAAAATGCAAGGGTCTTAAAATCTCGGTCTTGATTTGCCTTCACAGTTTCAACACTATTGTGTGTTTCAATGGAAACGGTTTGCACGTTGTCAAGCTTGTTTGTTGTAACTGCGAGTTCAGCTTCAAGTTTGTTGATTCGGCTTTCTTGGTCTTGAATTGCTTTGATCTGTCTCAAGTGACGTTCGTTGTGAATCTTTTCAGCTGCTTCACGCTCCTTCTTCATGAGCTGAAGTACTTCAAGTAAGCCTTTTGTCAATTCTCCTTTCAAAATTCTTTCTGCTTTGTCAATCTAGGTCTTCAAAATATTTTGATGCTCCATTAATTCCTTCAGATTGACTCGTGTATCCGTGTGTTGTTGATCTATCATTTGGTTTTGTTCAACCAATTTTTCTCCAATTGTTTGACAAACAACATCACTAGATTCGGCCACTTTGGCAAATAAGGATGAAAATATGTCATCTTCTTGTTCATCCATCTGCACAAAATTTTGAGGGGATCCGAATGGACTTTTATTCAGATCTGTGAGAATAACTGTGTCAATAAGTTGCATCTCTTCTTCTTCAGGTGATTCGGCTTCTTGATTGAGATCACCAATTTCTTCTTCTAAGACTTCTGTTCTTGTGTAGTTGTCTGCAAATATATCTTCATTTTCTAGAACAGGGTCCATGGTAGGCATGGTAGACTCGGTATGGTGTACCGGCAATACACTGGATAAATCCTCTATGATTTGCAATCTACTCTCAGTAGCAACTTCTACTGCAACTTCCACTGGTATATCTCTTCTTCTTTCTTCTGACACTTGTTCTCTTATTTCTTCTCGTACTGACACTTCTCCTCTTAATCTTTTCTTCTTTTATCCCTTTTGTAGCCATAATATATATATATTTTTCTAATTCCTTTTTATTTTATTTTTATTCATATATTTTTTTGTGTCTTTTTGGCTACGAAACTTTTGATCTTTTTATATACGTAGGGATTTTTCATTTTGTAGAAGAGAGAGGCAGAGAGAAAATAGAGATAGACAAAACCAGTAGCAAAAACATCCATAAATTTTTATTTATCTCCTTCGTACAGAGAAGGAGAGAGAGAGAGAGAGAGAGAGAGAGAGAGAGAGAGATAGCATAACATTTCTTCAACAGGCAGAAAAACCCGTACTCATGCAGTCTTCTGAGTCATAGCCTCCTGGTGGTGAAGGAGCATATCCCGGTCCTGAGTCACCACTTGACTCACTTTCCTCGAACATCGACCCGTTTGAGCTTGAAGATGAATAGGTTTGATTAAAAAACCTAGTAAAGTCCACTCGAGGACGGACGAACGGGTTGAGTGGCATCGGCTGAGGAGGCGGTGGAGGAGAAAGGATTTCTTGTGGC